AGAGATATGTATATATATATATATTTGTGTATACATGTATAAATGTGTTTGTGTATATAGTAATAAAAAATTATAAAAATGTATGAGCGCCTGTGCTTTGCAAAAAACATGCATCCTATCAGATTATAAAATTCTCTTAACTCCACTTAGAATATTTAAACAAACTGAACCATTTGCTTATAATTTGTTCAATTTCAACGAGTTTAACTTGATTAAAATTGATTCTGTGCCTCCTTATTAAATCACACTGAGCGGAGCTGTTGACCGCCCCAAGATGGCGCCACCAACTCTCGTCAGCGTCCATAGGCGAAAGCGATCGATGCGTGTTCTACTATTATATGTCTATTAAATAGACACTTTCCAGTCCAGGGCGGGTACAGGTGTCTCTGGGTGTGGACGGACGGACCGCCCTTGTCCTCACTTGCCACCAGGAACGCAATAACCTCCAAAAATGTCACACTTCATGCATGCGCACTATGAGAATTGCAGTCCAAGAAATGTACGCGCGCAGTGTCTATTTCAGTGAGCCACTCACATGAGCCCTGATATCTATATATCTACCCTCTTGCATCTCCTTGAGTCACGGACAAGGACACTCTTGAGCATTTCAAACCAACTTTTAAAGGTGAGTAATTCCTAAATGAGACATAAACAAGCATCAGACTAAAGATCTTGTGCTTCAATTCTGATTCTAATTGAACAATGGGTTCACAGTGAATATGCAGAAAATTAATTATGTTCATCCATTCTGATATGTATAGACTTAAGGAGGAACTAAGAGCTTCTATCATGTCTGAAGAGTAAGTTTTTCAAATCCCTCATACTCATTTAGTACACAAATGCATATCAAACACAATTAACCATTTTTTCTCTTTGTCTTATGGACACCAATTTTTCCTTCAGCACCCATCAGGTGAGTCATGATGGATTCTATGGGTTTATACCAGTGATCAAAACATTGTATTAGGACAGCTTTTGCAAATAGATTTCTAGCATTAAGAAATTATGTAAATATGTTTCAATCTTTGTGCTTAACACTGCTACTACTGTTGTGTACAAAAACTAAATTAATATTAGGAGAAAATAAAACATGTTGCATTTCTGAAAAATGTAAACTTAAGATTTTTTTCATCTTTTATAGAAACCAAAGTCAAAAATCACTGCATCACGCAGATTGTTCTTGAAGGTTTGTTCTGTATAAATGATCTGTAACTTTACTAAAGTATGCAAACTCTTTAAACACAGGAAAACTCTGTTGGTTTTTTTTCCTTCTTCTTCTTATAAAGACTAAACTGTTAAAGAAGGCAATGATTATGCTGGAGGAGGAAAAGCAAAGGAGACAAGCTGATCGAGAGAAGATCCTTGATGAGAGATTACCAGCCCTACAACTTTCAGGCCTGTCGATGCAAGAACTACAGGTTTACTTTTCACTTTAATTCAAAGCAATAACATATAAGTATCCCTATTTAAGTCCCACAGTTTTGGACATTAGAAAACCGGTATAGACTAAGGTATGACATAGAAATACTTTTTAAAAATGAAGCTGTACAGCAGGAGAGAAATACAGATCTCAGAAATGAATAAGTTAAAAAAAAAATAAAACACTGTGTGGTTGGGGGGAAAAAAAGAATGTTAAAAAAAAGTTTTAAATAAATGTGAAAAAAAAGCACAATAAACACAATTGTAGAAAAAAGACCTCCAGAGGAAGTAAGAAGTAGTAGTGATTAAAGTCTGTAAAGCACATAATGAATAGATTAGAAACCTGTTAGTTTCTTTGGGTAAAGTTGAAGGGAAAGAACATTTATATTTAGATCTAGCTTAGAATTGATTCAGAATAGTTTGCTACATGCACATAGATCTAAAATAGACAGACAAAACACACATTACAGACTCACACAGACACACAAAGCCACTACAGTCATCCCATAATTAATTATAACAAATATTTATTCACATAGCACATATGGATCTAGATTACAGCAAAGATTAGGTCAATTTAAAAATAAACAAATACTAAAAAAGATTAGGTTTGTTCAAGAAAAAAAGTTGTCTTGTGTTGTAGTGAGATGTGTGACTGAGTGAGTAAAGTGAGGAAGGGACATGCAGGAAGAGCCAGGGCCATAGATAAACTGCTGCATTATTTAGTCTTTCTTGATGCTTCTCCTTTAATATGATCATCTTCATCAGTCAGAAGCACAGGAGGAACATGGAGAACCTGTGAGAGCTATTGGGCAGCAGAGTTGATTTCAATCATTTAAACTATCAGAAGTATTTCAAGGATAGCTTACTAATGTATTTATTCAGTTGGAGGTGCAGGGCATTCTAATACTGGGCTACACTGGGTCAATATGTGTACTAATTTATATATAGTAGCAAAAAATATTTACTTAGGTACAACACATTAGAGGAACCAGACGGGAATCAATCTCTTCGCCTCTCAGGTTGAAGTTTTGCGTGTACACCGTTAAACCTTAATCATCTACATATGTCTAGGAAGCCAGGACGCATCATAATTCTGAGGCATAGTTGCGGAACCACGCTGTCACATAGCTGTTATGCATCAAAAGCTTGTTTATCATATTGCAATTTCACTGGTCAAAGTTTTTTAGTTATTATTATTTATGTATATTATCGCACAACTATTACTATTATCATAGAACAAATGAAATAATGCAGACTTTAGGATACCTGCTCAAATGTAGTTCTCCTAGCTGTCCAGCAGATGTCGCTTTTCAAAACTATATCAAATCTATCAAGCATGGTCTGGTTTAGGCCAATTGTGTCAAATTAGTTCATGCGTCTTTGAAGCTGCCATCATTACTTAATTCCTGTTCATCACAACTCCTAGAAATAAGGTAAATTATTTGCATACTTGCCCGTAACCAGACATTTAGTACCATCTAAGTCATAACAAAATGGTTATTTGAAAATTCCAAGCAAACAGTAAAAATACTTGTCAAAAAGATCGGAAAGCCTCTAAACCAGCAGGACAACGACCCTCGAGGTTGGCGCTGACTTTTGGCATGCTTCTCTTAAACCTTATTGTCAAGAGTTATGATGATGAACAAACCATAGGTTTTTAGAAAATAGAAACTAATCCAGAAACATTACTCAGTTGTTACAGAAATATTATACATTTTTTAAATATGTAGGTAACAAGATGATCACCTGAATTATTTAAGGTCTTTGACATTTTTAAAAATATTTTCCTATAAGAAAGAATCAGGAAGAGGATAGAAAACTAAAGACTTAAGTTCGGAAAGTGACATAGATTTACCACTGGGTCTAGTTCTGGACTCTGATTAGGCCATTCCATTCTGAGGGAAGGTTTTGATCTGAGTAGTCTTATTGCAGTTCTGGCTGTAGGTCTATAGGTTTTGTCCTGATGGCATGAACCCCTGAAACTCGTTTGGAACTTCTTACAGTTTTCATCTCTTTAAGTCTGTATTTAATAGTGTTGCACCAATGCCATGTTTTTGCCCTGATACCGATACCCGATACCTGGCTCTGCGATATCGTACCGATACCATCTGTTTGAAATCGATGTGTGTGTGTATATATAAAGAACTGCATCCTACTTGGATGTCAAATAATTGCCATCATGGCTTTGTCAATCTGCTGCCTATCTTTGTGAAGCAGACTAATACAAAGTGCATCCAGTAAAACTTTTTATTGCCTACCTGGAATCGTTGACAATAGTTGAATAAACTTTTGAATCCCAAAATGGTATCGGTGCCCTATTTGTTGGTACTTGCCAATACCGATACCACCATTTTAGTGCTGGATCAGGGCCCCGTCTGATACTGGTATCGGTGCAACAATAGTATTTAATTTAATCTCTTGTCATCAATTCTCCTCTGCCTCAGTTTTGTACCTCAAATTACATTTAGCATGTATTTTGTCTTTGTGTTCTATTTTTATCTTTATTCTCTAAAAAGCATTTCTTCTCATCTGTATCCGTGCTTAAATAAAATTATGCAGGTGTTCCTCTGTTTACAAAATAGGTTAATTCTGAATTGATATTATTTGAAGTCCCCAGGCTGACTGAAAATACAACAATTTTTTTTAAATATTATCAGTAAGAACAATTGTAAACAATATAATTTTTTTTCCCCACTCCATAAATATGGACTAATTTACATTTGTCTCTCAAATTGAGTCTAAGTAAAAAATGTAACATAACAAAACACAGAAAGGTAGTTATTGCATTAACTCTATTGTATTCTTACAAACCATGTTAATTATTAGATTAAAAAATAAAAAGGTTTGAATATTGCTGCAGCCAATTCACATGAAATAACCTTTGGTCTTAATGTATGAATCCCACAAACACCTGTGTGTGCAGATTGCATCAAAAGGATTCTATCAGCTAAGAAATGGAACTGCAGCAAATTATTCAAAATTTTAATCATCTGCATATAAAATACAGTAATGTATATGTCAAAGCAAGCCTGATAAAAAAAAAACGCTTCTGTTCACAGAATCTATGCAAAGAGCTTCACCAGAAAATTGATAAGGTCGATGAAGAGCGCTACGATTTTTCTGCCAAAGTGGCAATAAATGACAAAGAGGTGAGTAACTCAGCTCCAGCTGTAATATCTTATGATAGTTTTCTAAAATAATCTAACAGATATTTCTTCAATACGGTAAAACATAGAAAGGAACTGCACTAAAAAACAGTTAATAATCAATGAAATTATGTCTGCTGCATGTTTTTCATTAGAAAGTGGACAGTTTTTGTTAATTCAGACACTTCTTTTTAAATTAAGACTAGCTATAGTCTACTAATTGCTATATGTTGCAATAACCTCTTTAAAACAGGATAGATGAATAGATATTGCAGAGCACAGCATTCCTGATGTGCTAATTCTTGCTGAGATTATGCTGGGTTTTGATGTGTTGCCTTTGTCTTTGTAGAAAAGGGAGAAAAAAATCAATTGCAGACATATTTGAGAGACAATTGAAATCAACAAACACCATGGACATTTAAAAACCCGGTCATTGTTCAAAATATGTACATTTTTTTGTTTTGCACAAAGATACAGAACTTGTCTCTAAAGATCTTTGAGCTGAAGGGCAAGATGAAGAAGCCAAACCTTAAGAAGGTGAGGATGTCTGCAGGAGCCATGCTGGGAGTTCTGCTGGGTGCGAAGGTAAAAGAGTCTGTGGACTTCAAGGCAAACCTAAAGACTGTGAAGAAGGAGGAGGAAAAGGTAAGGATATAGTGGAATGTGTATGTAAGATGGCGATAAACCATTTCATCTGTTTAAAGGAAAACATGGTTATATATAAAACATAATACTAATAATAGGTGAATTTCAGAACCTTTAATCCCAAAAAGGTAAAAAAAAAATTAAATCAAAATTAAATGCATCCGCGTTATTAAGCATGCATCTGCATTCTGACTGAGCATAAAATCATCTTCGATGTTTATTTAAAATGAACCGATTTAAATCTGTTCCACTGTCCTGCAGAAAGAAGAGGTGACCGACTGGCGTAAGAACGTGGACGCCATGTCTGGGATGGAAGGGAGGAAGAAGCTGTTTGATTCTGCCCAGTAGATTTGTGATTATTGTCGGAGTAATCACTGTGGAAGGGCTACTGATATGTACTCTAGATTCAGTTCATGTTGTGATCAATTCTAATACAGTTTGTGTTTGTATATGATTAAGGTGACCTTGCTGGGATCATTGTTGTTGAATACACACTAATGTATTATGGTATTCAGCTCTCTCGTGTGTCTATATGTCACCTAAGTAATATTACCTCATTATTAAACCACTTCTTTAGCACTGGCTTAAAATACAAATATGCATAGAACAGTAAATATAAAAAAGTCTTAAGGTTATCCAAAAAACTTTGTACTTTTTTCTGTTTTACTGCATTGAAAGTCAATACACATTCTTATTGCAGTTTATACAAAAATCAGTCAATTATGCTTCACTCTAAGGTTTTTTATCCTTCAAAATATATGGGAAGTTACTGTGAATTATTGAGATAAAACAGTCTTATGATTCATGTCTAAATAAATACAACTTTGAAGCACAGTTTAGAAAGCTGTTGTTTTAAGGGGAACAAATGCCTGTTTATCCTTCAATAAACCTCCAGTATGTTCGCTATATTTACTTGTTGTCCAACCTAAAATGTTGTTATTCATATATTAGACCTGTTTTTTTCATTTATATGTCCAACATTTTAATATTTAAACAGCTTTCTGTTCTCTACAAAAGTGACAATAAAATTATATAATTATTTCTGACTTTGTATATTATTACCTTGGTTTCTGTAAAGGTTTCTCTTAAGGTCTGATATAATTTGCATTTATAGGACTGTTTTATGGTGCTTAGTGTAATATAAACACCAGGATAGCAATCTGCATTCATATTGTATAACACTGAAGTTTAATATGTCTCAATTTGCCTTACTGTCCATTGCACACTCTTCTTATTGAACAAATTTGTTGTTGGCCTGATTAATAAGCTAAAAGAAACAGCAGTAGGTGGAATGAAGTGGCTAGTGGTGCATAGGTTGGTATCGTATAAATAGCTTAGTAGATGTAGGGGACCTGACATGACCATATTTTAGTTCATATTGTTGATACTGAAGACTGGTTGCATCTTGGTTGGTTAATTCTACAGTAAACAACATCCAAGTGTAGCAACTAATAGTTTTTAGCTCCTGAGTCAATACTTTGTAGAACTACTTTTTTGCAGTTTCATGTTTCGTATTTAAATCTCATTGTCCTTCTGTACAGATCTTAAGCCTTTGCACCCTCTACGATGTGTTATTTCTGGATCATCCTGGATTTATCTTCATGTGCCCCACGGCTCTGATCAGCTCACCTGTCTTTTTTGCAGACAGCATTCCCTAAGCATGATGCTGCCATCAACATGTTTCACCATTAGGATGGTGCAATCAGAGTGGTGTCAAGTCAGTTTTCTGGCACTCTACTGACACACGCAAACTGTATTCAATAATTAGTTTGATTGTAGATGTAATTTGGTGCATTGGGTTTTTTTTTGTGCTGTCAGAGTAAAAGGGGCTGAAAGCGAACACTCCTCTCAACTGTGTTCATTGTTTTATGAAATAATTCTTAAAGCATGCGATCTTCTTCCTTCCCCTCCTCATTATGGACTAATTTGTGTCAGCCAACATCCTTTTCATCCAAATAAAATATCAATAATTTATGTGCTTATGTTGTGAAAAATTCATAGTGGAAGCTTGAAGGTTCTTTGCAAAATTTCCACAATATCCCCACTGTGGGACAATAAATGGACTATTCTATTCTAAAATTAAAAAAATGAATCCCAAATATTTGTTTATGTATTTCCATAAATTGTCCTGTGGTGTAGGGCATTGGTTCCCAAATTATTCAGCTTCTGACCTGTTGATCCACGACTCAAACTTAAGTAATAGAAGAAGGTGTTGGGGGTAGCAGTACTTTGGTAATGCACTAAAATGTTTGTGGAGTATTTGGGTGGTGTACGGAAGAGAATTAGGCCC